GTCTCACTGTCTCATCCAGGCTGGAGTGCAATGGTGCAATCTTGGCTCACTGTAACTTTCGCCTCCCAGGTTCAAGTGATTCTCCTGTCTCAGCCTCCCAAGTAGCTGGAATTACAGGTGTGTGTCACCACACCCAGTGAATTTTTGTATATTTAGTAGGGACGGGGTTTCACCATGTGGCCAGGCTGGTCTCAAACTCTTGACCTCAGCTGTTCCATTCACCTTGGCCTCCCAAAGTGTGGGGATTACAGGCATGAGCCACCATGCCCGGCCAGTATCAGTATTTCTGTGACTGGTTTATTTCACTTAGCATAATGTCTTCAAATTTCATCCATGTTGTAGCTTGTGTCAGAATTTCCTTCCCTTTTAAGGCTAAATAATATTCCACTGTATGTCTATACCACGTTTAGTGTATTCATTTATCCTTTGATGGACACTTGGGTTGATTCTACCTTTCAGCTATTGTGAACAATGCTGTTATGAACATGGGCGTATAAATATCTGAGACTCTGCTTTCAATTACTTTGAGTATATACCCAGGATTGAAATTCCAGATCACATGGTAATTCGGTTTTTAATTTTTTGAGGAATTGTCATACTGTTTTCCGAAGCGCCTATACCATTTAATATTCCCACCAATGGTTCACAGAAGCTCCAATTTCTCTATATCCTCACCAATACTCCACTTTTTTTGGGTTATAGCCATTCTAATGGCTGTGAAGTGGTAGCTCATTGTGGTTTTTATTTACATTTTCCTAATTACTAAAAATGTTGAGCATATTTTATGTGCTTATTTGATGTTGTATATCTTCTTTGAAGAAATGTTTTCAAGTACTTTGTTCATTTTTTTAAATTGGGTTGTGCTATATGGTTTGAATGTATCCCTCCAAAAGTGTGTTGGAAACTTACTCTCCAATGCAACAATTGGGGGCTAGGAGGTGGGGTCTAATGAGAGGTAATTAGGTCACGAAGTGTATTATCACAGGAATGGGTTTGTTATTGTGGGAAAAGGTTCATTATAAAAGAGCAAGTATGGTCCCCTTTCTCTCTCTCTCATCCTCTCTTGCACTCTAGCCTTCCACTATGTGATAACACAGCAAGATAACCCTCGCTACATGCTAGCTTCTTAATCTTCGACTTCATAGCCTCCACATGTATAAGCCAATGCATTTCTGTTCTTCATAAATTACCCACTCTCGGGTATTCTGTTATAGCAGCACAAAATAAACTCAGGTTATTCATCTATTTGTTGTTGAGCTGTAGCAATTCTTTATATATTTTGGGCACTAAATCCTTATCATATATATAATTTGCAACTATTTGCTCCCATTCTGTGGCTTATCTTTCCAGTTTCTTCATAATGGTTTTTTGTTTGTTTGTTTTTGTGAAGCAGGGTCTCTGTCACCAAGGCTGGAGTGCAGTGTTGCGATCTTGGCTCACTACAACTTCCTCTTCCTGGATTCAAGCGATCCTCCTGCCTCAGCTTCCCATGTAACTGAGACTACACACACGTGCCACCACACCCGGCTAATTTTTGTATTTTTAGTAGAGATGGGATTTCACCATGTTGGCCAGACTGGCCTCAAGTGATCCACCCACCTCGGCCTCCCAAAGTACTAGTGTAATATTGGGGTTCAGGGGTTCAGGGTGTCGTCAGCTCCCCTGAGAGGATGTTTCTTCAGATTCCTGGTCTCCTGCTCTCTCAAGAATGAGAGAGGGGACCACGACGCAGTGCACGGTAAATGCCGGACTCAAAAGTGTTTGTAGAAAGCGATTTATTTAGAGAGACAGAGAGAAACAGGAGAAGGAGAAAGAAAGAAACAGCTGACTCTCACACCGAGTGAGAGAATCCAGAAAGATGGAATCCAGGAAAGGAAAGCAGCTTCCACACTGAGTGGAAGGGAATAGAGAAAGATGGAGTTTACGAGGGGAAGACAGGCTTCCATGAGAGAGTGTGGAAGGGGACTCCAGAGGGAAAACCCAGGAGAGAGAAAGGTGGCTTCCACGCACGGAGTGTTAGTGGAAGGGGACCCGGACATGGAGTCCCAAGGGATGTGGAAGAAGGGGACTTTTAACCTGGAAGGTTCTCTAAGATCCCGGGGCCAATGAAAGGAGTTCCTTAAAACTTCTGCTGGAGTGATTGACTCTTAGTTTCTTCCCACGCCTGCAAAATTTAAACCTAAACCGTTAAATCTCCCAGATGGAGAGAGATGGGAGGGAGGCATGGCGCTAGGGACTTCTTGCCCTTAAAACTACGCCCCCTTGTGGACCCAGAAAGAGAACACCTTCCCTCACTAGGATTATAGGTTTGAGCCACTGCACCCAATCCATAATGTTTTGTGATAAATAAAAGATTTAAATTTTGACGAAATACAATTTAGCTATTTTTTTCCTTTGTTACTTTTGGTGTCCTTTCCAAGAATCCATTGTCAAATGCTAGATTATGAAGATTTTCAGGTTTTTTATTTTTTATAATTTCACAGTTTTACCTCTTATATTTAGTTTTTTTTTTAAATTGTACTTTAGATTCTGGGGTACATGTGCAGATCATGCAAGATCATTGCATAGGTACATTCATGGCAAGGTGGTTTGCTGCCACCATCCCCCCATCACCTATACCTGACATTTCTCCCCACGTTATCCTTCCTCACCCTCCCTCCCATTGTTCCTCTGCTAGCTCCAACCAATGGACTCCAGTGTGTGATGCTTACCTCTCTGTGTCCATGTGTTCTCATTGTTCAACACCCACCTATGAGTGAGAACATGCACTGTTTGATTTTTCTGTTCTTGTGTCAGTTGGCTGAGAATGATGGTTTCCAGATTCATCCATGTCCCTACAAAGGACACGAACTCATCATTTTTTATGGCTGCATAGTATTCCATGGTGTATATGTGCCACATTTTCCTTGTCCAGCCTATCATCAATGGGCATTTGGGTTGGTTCTTGGTCTTTGCTATTGTAAACAGTGCTGTAATGAACATACATTTACATGTATCTTTATAATAGAACGATTTGTAATCCTTTGGATAGGTGTCGTGTGCGTGAGCCCCGTAGGGCCGGGAGGCACCAGCTGCCATGAGGGGAGGAGGCCGAGGCCGCAGCTTGAGGGAGACTCCGGCCCCTCTGCGCCTGTGTCTGGCAGAGCTGGCGTGAGACGTGACAATCCTGCCCCGCTGCTGGGATAATCAAGAATTTTGGCCAGAGTTTTGAGCACACACCAAGAGAGTGAGGAGCCAGACGACAAGCACACACTATGGCGCTGAAACAGATTAATAAGGAACATAGTGATTTGGCCCGTGACCCTCCAGCACAATGTTCTGCAGGTCCAGTAGGGGATGATATGTTTCATTGGCAAGCCACAGTTATGGGACCTAATGACAGCCCATATCAAGGTGGTGTATTCTTTTTGACAATTCATTTTCCTACAGACTATCCCTTCAAACCACCTAAGGTTGCATTTACAACAAGAATTTATCATCCAAATATTAACAGTAATGGCAGCATTTGTCTTGATATTCTAAGATCATAGTGGTCGCCTGCTTTAACAATTTCTAAAGGTAAAAATACTTCCAGTGAAATAATCTTAAGCTGTTCTCAATTTCTAAT